GAGATGCTGGTGTCGCCCACAGGAAAAACCTGGGACTCCTCAGAGAGATAATGTGTCAGGTAACAGCCGCGCTCGGCGCCCGCTGAGCCCCGCGCCCGCGGGCTTTGCGCGGGGCGGGCTCGGCCTCGGCCCCCAGCCCCCAGCCCAGGCGTCAGAGCGGTCCCTGCGCCACGCTGACTGACCCGTCTGGGGAGGAAGGAGTACGGCGGGGGGTGGGCTGGGGGCGAGGAAGGGGGGGCCGTGCTTTTTAGTACGGCGGGTTTGCTGAAGGGAGCTAGGAAGGGTTACATGTATTTAATGAGGCTCAGACCTAGAAATGTAGAGGACTGTGCTGCGGGGCAATCTGCAGAAGCACTTGTAAATCTACTAATCATCTTAAAAATAGCCTTTTGTGAGATTTTATATCACTTATTTCTTCCCCTAAGATGGCTTAATACTTAATACTAATATTAAATTCATAGTGGTTTAGGGAGCATCAATGTTAAATCTGAATGAAGTTCTTACAACAAGTAAGATAATCAGCAGAGGTCTTCAGGTAAACATACCCCTGGTGTATCAATGAAATTTATGTTACAGAAAAAACAGGAATTAAACGAATTCCAGACTGAAGCAAACTTGGTTTTGTTTTGTTTTTTATTTAATTAAAATTATTATTGCTCCCATGCTGTAGTTAATAAAAATACATTGAAACTGAGTATGTGGAAGTTAGTTGGCAGTTTTGTTATATTGAAAATACTTATTAGAAGTCAGATAAAGTGTCCACTTATGCAGCTAGACCTAAGGGTATGCAGCGTTTATTGAAAAAAAAAATAAAAAATTAATGAGTCCTGACTGTAAAAAGAGTAAGTAAAAAGGCTGACTCTGACTTACAGAAATACTTATTTTTTGTAGGACTGGAAGCTTTGTTAATGGTATAGAGCTCATGATGTCTGTAATGCACACAAGTAATTTTCTGTGAGTAGTTTACCCCATTAACATTTCAGGCACGTTTTGCAAATAACTGTAAACACATTTTTCTACCTTTTACACAAAACACCATCAGCAGAATGGAATCAGATTTTTAGTAAATTAAATTAATTACATATAAAAGTTATGTGCGTATTTACACTCTGAGGAGTTTCGTCCTTCGTTTTAAAAGTTGCCATTAAAGTTTAGTTACTATTTTAATTTTAACACAGGCTAGTTAATTAAAAAATATTCATTACCTGTGCTGTCCATACAAGCTAATAAAAAGATTCTTTAATTTGGTTATAAAAAAGGCAAAATTTCCCTAAAAAAAAAAAAAAAAAAGTCTTTTAATTTAGTTTATAAATAAATATATTTTTTTTAATGTATTCAGTAGCAAAGTTCAAGTAAAGTAAATTATTGAGCTGCAAGAGCCAAATAAAATATTTTCCAAAAGCAAGGTGTGTTACAACCACTGTCTGTTTCAGGAAAGTACAAAATTCAAGAACGTTTGGACGACTCATTCTGCATCTCCTATTGCGTACGAAAGAGGAAGAATTTATTTAGACAATTACCAGTGCTGTATTAGCAGGTAATAAATTTACAATTAAAAGTTATTCTGACTTAGAGTTTTAACAATGTGATTCTGTTTTAGACATGTCACTAACTTTACTTATCTAAATAGCCCCTGTGAATTGAGTGGAATTTACAAACAAAAAATAACCAGGTGAATAAACCTTTGTTGAATTACACTCAGATGCCATTGTGTTATAATGTGGCACGTGCTTTGGTGAAGGAAAGCCTGATCTTAGTGGTGTTGTGTACCTTGAGCTTTCAGAGCACTTTAATAGGAGTGGAAGCTTATCAGCATTTTATAATTTTGCACTAAAAAGCCAAATGAACAGTAGTTCTTTGTGAGCTGGTAGCTAGCAGTGTGCAAAAAAAAAAATTCTGTCAGTATAAACCACTGAGAGTTAATTAAATTAATCTATTACAGCAGAGATCTAAATCTATTTAGCTGTTTTATTCCTACATTCTTCTCCCTGAGGGGAAAACCGTGCACACTGTGAAGTTTTTATTCTAGTAGTAGGATGGCTTTAAGCTGAAAGAGGGTAGGTTTAGATGAGATATTAGGAAGAAATTCTTCACTGTGAGGGTGGTCAGACACTGGAACAGGTTGCCCAAGGAAGTTGTGGATGCCTCTTCCCTGGAAGTGTTTAAGGCCAGGCTGGATGAGGCTTTGAGCAACCTGGTCTAGTGGAAGGTGTCCCTGCTGATGGCAGGGGGGTTGGAACTAGATGATCCTTAGGGGCCCTTCCAACCCAAACCATTCTATGATATGATTATATGATATGATTTTTTTAAAAAAATCTGTACATGTTGCCACACCTTTATATTTTGAAAGGCAACACTAGAAGGGATCAAGGGGACAGTTCATTAGTTTCTGGAATATGCTTTCTTTTTAATGTGTATCATGAAAGTAAGAACATTACTATTAAGATTTCTACTTAAAACCAAAACAAAAAAACCCACAACACCAAACCACAAAATATAGAGAAGGTTAGATTTAAATATTACTTTATACTAACTATTGTTTATTAGGCCTTATTTTTATAGCAATTTCACGTTATCTTTACAAAGTAAAAATGTTTAGATTTCTGACCTGCCTAAAGAGAAGGCAGGATTTATAAAACTCTATGAAATTACTTGTTGATAGAAAGTAGTTTACAAAGTAGACTAACGATTAGCAATCATTTTCCTCCAGCATTGCACAGGAGCCAAGAATACTTTATCAAAAGCCAAAGTGTTCTAAGTCAGAAAAAATAGAAGATGCTTTATTATTGGAATGCCCACTGGTAAGATTACTTTTTAATAGAGCATTGTTGTGCAAAAAACCAAACTAATATATTTTAGTGAAACATATTTAGAATAGTGTTCTTTCCTTCTGAACTATTTTGTCAGTGTTTTTATGGAATTAGGTCATTTAAAGTTTGCAACACGTGCTTATTTATTTTGACTGAATGTTTGCAGATATACCTCTAAACTTCTCAATAGCACATTCAAATGCTTTTTTGTGAGCTTTTTTGGAAGATTTTAAAAATGGTGCCTTTATGCTTATGCAACTAACTCTTAATTCCTTACAACATAAATTGTTTATTTTTTCTCTTTTATTTTTTAATTAGCAAGGTGGGAGTTTTTGCTTTTATCAGATCTGTTGACATAAAAAAAAAGGCAGATAAACTGAAGACCCATTAAAGCAGCTCTGCCCAAAAGCTGTTCTGCCTTTTCTAGCTAATCGATTATATAATATCCCTCACCCTTGAGTAGGTTTTCTCTCATCCACTGTCCACAGACCTTAGGAACATTAGCCCAGTCCTTGAAGTGCCTAAAAATAAAGCAGTTTGAATACCATTCTTGGCAGTTACTGTTGAGTTACCACTGAATGTCTTATTCTGCAATACTTAAACAATTGTCTCTTCAAGACTGGTATCAATTAGATCGATAAGCAGTTATATTTCATTTGTGTAAGGCACAGAAGTTTTAAAAGGTGTGACAACAGATTATTTATGTGATAGCTGACTATTTAGCACAGACATGAGATCCTGATGTGATCAGCAGGCAGCTTTCCACCTTTAGTTTTTGAGGAATATGTATTAACTTTTGTTTTCCTATTACTGTGTCAAAATGTTATGTGTCCTCCTGGTACAAACTTTTTTCTGATAACCTCCTGTTATGTAGGGGGAAATGCTACCAAGTCCATCAGACTATAAATCTTCCCTGATAGTCTTGACGGTGCAGAACTGGCTTCTACGTCTCTCTGCTGATAGTGGAGAAATACTGGAAAAAATATACCTTGCTGGTTCCTGTTGCAAATTCAGGTATTAAACATTGACTAGGCTTTATATAATTAACAGTCTTTAGTACTATACTGGAGAAAGGGAATATGTTTATTTTAGTGCTACCATATGACTGGCTTCAGGTTTGTTCGTCTAGCATATTACCTGGACTACTGTTCCTGCATGCTGTCTTCTATGGAAAAAATTCAGCTGCTTAAATATTATGGTCTCAAATTTGGTATCAAGTTCCACAAGACCCACAAAAACTAGGCTACTGTTGTATTTTCTCTGACAATTTACAGCCTTTAATATTGCAGTAGCAACATATCAGGAGAGGACCTTTAAGAGCTGTAAAACAAACTTCATAAAACATAAGAAAAAGACATCTGAAGTTTAAGCCATTTTTAACTTGCAAGGATTCTTCTCCATAGGGTAGCCATTGTGCTCTTTAAAAGCAGAGCAGTTACTGTTTCTGGTAAACTACATTTTTTTTCAGTTCTCATAAGAAATTATTTTCTTTAGGCTAAAGGATAAGAAAGCAGTGATTTGTGAAGGGAAGGAAAAAATTAAGATAGTGAATGTTCATACTTTCAGAATTTTTCTCATAATCCTGTATGGAATAAGCCATTCCTAGATCTGTGGGATTTGCATTATTGCAAACAGCAAACATCTCAGGCACCTCTCCCAAATCAGATACTGAACAGTTTGCCTGGACACGGGAATCTGTCTAATTATAGTAGATTATTTTTTATTTGAAAGAATGTATTTATTATTAAATTATTTCTAAATTATTAAGATAGACTTTTCTTGTCACAAATAGGTATCTGAGCTGGGATACTCCTCAAGAGGTAATGGTTGTAAAGTCGGCTCAGAATAAGCTCCCTGCAGCAGCACGACAGGTAAGTTTGTTGAAAAAATCTGTCATTATTAAATTTTTACAAAATCAATTTAAAAAAAAATTACAAGGACAGAGATGGAGACTATGCTGTGTAGAAAATTAAGATGTCCTACCGTTAATAAATGCTTCAAGTATAATAACTATTCAGTATTGTTATTCCTTCCCAGGCAGGTATCCAACAGTCTGCATTGTTCTATCTTGCTGTATTCCAAGTTTTGCCTCTTTCATTCATTGGAATGCTAGAAATAAACAAAAAGGTAAGTTAATTCCTGTATTAATCGTGATCTGTACTGTAGTTGTATGAGAGGTATGTAGTTTAGGTAATTGTCCCAGAATTTCAGAAGTCATACTTACAGCTTATAAAAGTATATTGCCCTGAAACATTAATTAGCAGTAATGTTTTTCTTGTGTCTGGTAGGGGCATTGTGGGGAAGATTCTTCACTGAAATGACCATAAGAGAAAATACAAATGTATTCTGCTATTGGGTTGCTCTTTGACATGCAGAGGGACTTTAGCCTTTACTTAGAGCAATCATAAGAATTAGGGAATCCTAAAGTGTTTGTAGACTTCTTTTAATCTCTTTAAAGTACGACAGATGTGCTTCTGACCCACTCGTAGTAATAGTCTTCGAATTCTCTGTGCAGTTACAAATGTTTCAAACTTGTATTATCATTGATATTGAATGGCAAAATGTAAATATGTGTCTTGCTTTATCAGTCAATAGCAGACAACCTTTCTGAGGTCAGTTTGTGACTTGTAAGTAAGAGTGTCTGCATTAGAAAACCTCATGCCAGATGGCAGGTTTTACTGTCCTGGTGAAAAAACATGTCAATTTTAAGTCAACAGAGCTCTGGATACAATTTATAAATGAAACAGTACAAACATGCAAACTCTGTCTCCAAAGCTCTGTGAGTTACAGTCTGAGTCCAGAGCTATGAGTGGGTTTTAGCTGGTGCTGGGTTGAAGCTGTAATTGAGATTGGGCCCATGAAAGTTTAAGAGCACTGTGTATTGCTCTGTTCAAAATTAGTATTCAGGACTGGAAAAAAACAGTTGTTACCAGTATTAAACATATTCTCTATCTGGTTAAGAATGGCATGCCAGATTCATCATGGTCATAATAGGCAAAACATCTAAAAGAGTACTTCTTCAGTTGGGCCTATACTGAGTACTCATCAGAGTAATTGTTACAGCTAGGGAAAACATCAGGACAGAATTTGGGATTTGAGAATACACCCAGCAGAGGAAGCAACCAGTGAATGCAATGCCAAACCTGATACAGATCAGTGGAACGTAACTGATTAGAGTTAGGATTAGGGCTACTGTCCCAAGACTACAAGCATCTCTATCTAAAACAAACAAACAAACAAACCCTCATGTGTTGTTATTCATTAAATACTAAGAATTAATGTTTTGGGTTTTTCTCAGTGGAGATGTGTTAAGTGGTGGCACAAATTAATACTGCATAATTGTTAAAAGGGATAAGTCAGCTTCTCATGTGTGTGTCTAGTTTGGATTCAGAGAGGATCCTGTACTCTCCAACAGCTGGATAATGTAGTTTCAGTACAGCTGTCCACAGTCACAGAGCCATGATTGGACTAGGATTTTACCCTGGTGATGAAAAAAGAACAGAAGATCTGAAATCAGTACTTTTAGATCGACTTGTTAGTTTTGCTAACATTGCTGTGGGATGCTGGTAATATAATCTATTCATGTATTATAATAACTGGGTAACATGATATGAAGATATACTGAGAATTGATTAGAGAATGAACCTGCTTACAGAATATGATTAATCTAACCTCAGGTGTTACTGCAGTGCAAAGTATTATAGAAACTCAGCAGAACATGAGTTACAGAAAATGGCATGAACTAAAACACTGATCAAAAGGTTTGATCAGCATAAAAAAGTGATCACAAAATTAAGGACGCAATGTCAGTATTTTGCATTGTCCCTCAATTCTTTCTTCCCTAATAGAGTATTATTCTTCTCCTTTTTTTTCCAGATATTTGGTAATAGTGTGACTGATGTTGCTGTTTCTAATGGAATCCTGATTGTAATGTATAGCATGGGTCTGGTCAGGCTCTATAACTTCCAGGCCATCTCTGAACAGGTAACGAAATATGAATTTTTTCATGCAGTCCATGCTGTTTTGGGACAACAGATCATAAATACTCATGTAATGCTACATAGGTACATGGAGAATGTGTCAGAGGATAGAGTTCTTGCCTAAATCTGTTTTACAGTCAGAAGTGCAAATGTGGGTACGCTATCAGAAAATTCTGCCAGTTACAGGTGGCAAAACATAAGAGATACGGGGTCAGACGGGCACTTAAGTGCATATGAAGAAGAGCTATGTAAATACTAGACCGGGATGTGCTCTTCTTTACACACCTAGTCTGTAGTTATAGATGAGTGTTAAGGCTAGAAACTGATGGGCATAGAAGATTGATCCAGAACAGAACTGCAGTGAGACTTTTGAGTTTATATTCTTCCAATCAAAAATCCAATGTTAATTCAAAAATAAGACTTCAAGCAGTATCTAAAAAGATAAAGAATGCAGTAGTAACAGAGCAGTAAAACTAAACAGCAATTGAATACACATGAATAAAGCTAAATTGTTCTGTGTTGTTTTAGTTCATGGAACAGCCGTTTGACTTGGGACATGAATTCAACTGGAATGGTCAAGTGGGAGTTGTAGGAAAATATCCCTTTGGTCTTCCTTGTAACATTAAAATAACAGGTATTTATGATCTTTGTATTATCCTGGCTGGTGGCTTTTATGGATTAATTGTGACTTCACAGCAAGAAAAAACATTAAAATTACTGTACTCATATTCTGCCGTAGCTGTATTTGTGGGTTTACACTATAGTAAAAACATGCTTTGCTTTACTTCTAATTACAAGAACTAATTACATAGGTCTTACCTAGAAAACTAGTACAGCAATTAAGCTATTTGAAAAATTTCATAAGCAGTGCATGAAGTGGAAACTCCTTCCTTAGTTCTGAGACACAACTGCTCTTGGGAAAGAGGAAGGGCTAGGACAGCTGTTAGTAACAGCCAGAAATAGCATATGGCACGTAAGCAAAAGATGTGAGAACATTTAGTCTAACTTGCAGAAGGAATTCAGGGAGACAGAATAAAATTTGCCCAAGTTGCATTTTGATAATTCTAAGTTCTCAGAAATGTGCCAGTTGCAACAAAATTAATTCCTGAGGAGAGAACAAATTATCTCTTAAAACCAAGTCTTATGCCTCAAATCATTAACCTATGAATGTTTAGCTTTATGTAATGACTTTAATTTCTCTGAAACCAAGCAATCATTTCTGTTGGTGCATTTGAGATTAGAATTTGGTGCTAAGAATCTTAATGAATGACCAAAGCTTGAGACTTTCTTTGAATTTTTTTTTATTTTTTTTTTTACTTTAAAAATACATTCTCATAAGTTCACACTTTAGGCACTTCGAAAAAATATGGTAGGTTTCACCAATAGCAAATAATGCATACTTTTATTTCTTTAATTTTAAATGTTTCTTTGTTAAATGTTTTTTACAGGTGACTGTCCAAATAAAAAATGCTTTTGATCTTTATGTTCGCAAATAGTATCAGATAATAACAGGCACAGTAAACCAGATTTACATAAACCTGAGGAAACACACAAAGATAAAATACAGACTTAGATAGTGAAGGTTTTCAGTTATAATGCAGTGTTTTATCAAAACAAAGTGATAGGCTGCTGTAATTTGTATCTCAGGTTCTGCAAAGGGAAATTTCTCCTCATTTTCCTCCAGTTTAATCTCAGGGGCCCTGTGGGAAACATGCTGTGGGAGCTTTAATAGGAAGCCTATACCAGATTTGTTCTCATGTCTTATAGATAATTGTATTTTTTTAGTTTTGAGATTTAAAATTAATGTACTGGAGAAGACATTTTTGATCTTGAATCATATTCAAGAATTTGTGGTTAGGAAATTTTGAACTTTTGAGAGACATTTGCCATGGCTGCCTTTTGCAGATAGTTGCATTCCTGTGGTTTTTGAGCTGTTCTCTGTTAGGAATTGAGATGGCCGACTGACTGTTCAATGTGATGTCATGCTTCAGTGAGTGAGATTTTAACAGTTTCAGAGTTGAAGCTTGTATTTACTATAATTTAACTATGTGTAATTTTCCTGCTTATTTAGGTGTAGCCTCCCTGCAGCAATTGCCTGAAGGGATGGCAGTTATTACACTGCTGTGTTTGTGGTGTGTTGAGTACCCAAGAGGAAGTGTAGAGATATCAAAACATATAGGCTCCCATGTACCTACCACACTATTTACAGCTATTGACTGGTAAGAAATTTGATTTTGTTCACAGTGGAAGGAATGGAAAAGGTACCTATAAATCTTCATTATGTCACTGTCTGAAAGGTCCAGAACTTAAAACTGTAGTTTGATTTATTACTAGAGGATACAGTAATTTAACAAAAAAACAGAGAGTAAGGTATTTTACTCGGCGTTTTTTTTACATTTAGAACAAATAATTGTTAGTGCTGCCACGAACAACTTTGACTTAATGTTTAGATGAGACTGGAGAGTTTTAAGGAAGTGAACAAAGAACCTCAACTGGAGACTGAAAACTGGCGATGCAAAGGACTTACAAACAATGAGAACAGGAGGTGTTGAGCAACAAGAGCAAGTGACACATAGCAGGCAAGAGGGCATTGAGGCAGCTATAACCGTGGTTTAGGTGGCTGTGATCTTGCAAATCTTTTGACAAATGAACATAAAAAGAAAGGCATATTTTATCAGCAGTCTGTAGTGCTTAGGATTGATTTATTATTTGAACACATTTAAATCTACCATTTAGCCCATCTACCAGAATTTTTGAGGGGCCTTGCTATATATGTTTTATATAAAAAGGAAAAGTCAATAGGGTGAAATGTTAACAAATTTGCTTGACTGATTTTTCATTTTCTGACAGATTTTAATATCCGTAGGTCCTCTGCTTATGCCTCCATCTTCAACATTCTCTACATTTTCAGCAGGTGCCTTGGATTTTATAACCTATACTTTGTTATGTCTTGCACAAAATCTCCCATTTCCTGTGTGTTAGTCCAAGAGACAACTAGAAGACAGCCACTTTCCAGTTTAGGAAAGGCTTCATTTCCATGGGCAGTGAACTAATTCCTTTCAAATGGCTAACTTCTTGGAAACATGAATGAAGGGAAAAGAGAAAAGCGCTATAGAAACATAATTTCTGATGTCATGTGACATCTTAGCACCATTGGCTAGGATCTGGATAATCATCTAGACTAAGTAGGACAAGAAGAAGTCAAACTTTGGATAAGACCTTTGGGACACAAAAGTCCAGATAAGAACCTTCTTCTCCTCCGCTTGGGTTTTTATATTCTGCCTGTTTAAAAGCCCCTTGTAATTGCAGATTTTCTCCACATTTTTCTTTCTTTTTTTTTTCCCCAGCACTTCTCTATACTGTTAGAAAGAGCTTATCTTCAGTCCAAATTTGATTCAGTTATAGCAGCTGTAGAAATTACTTTTATTTAGCTAGTTGGTGTAAGTTGTAAAGCTCCTTGCAGTCCATATCTTTCAAAGATGCTTCTCTCATTTAGTACACAGAAGACTTGGCATATTACATCTGTATATTTTATCCTAACTGAACTGAAGGGAAAAGTAGATACCTTTTGCCATTAATTACAAAAAATCCTAGATTTTTACTGATTTTTACTAACTCAGCTACAGATTGCATTCATTGTGGTCCACACTATTTTGTTATATTACGCAAAAGGAGAAGGAACATTCAAATTCAGGTATCTTTCTGCATTTAATTCTTTTTTTTTTTTGAGATTGCTGCTGTTAGTCTTTTTCCAGCTATTAATAACTATTTTTCCCAAGAGAATAGTGACCCCTTTGATATGCTCTCTGATCTATTCACGTGCATGTCCGCTGTCATTCAGATGAGCTGGATTAATTTTGATTGTCTGCTACGTCTTTGCTTATCCAGCTCATTTCGAGTGAAGGAAGTCAAAGGCAGCAGAAGAGCAGTTCAGCATCAAGATCTGAGTAGGCAGTAACATTTCACAGGGAACTGCAGATATGTGCCTGGATGCTAGGTGAGGTAGCATAACTGGTGCTAGAAAAAAGATCGCAGCCAGTGTATTTCCACCAGTCTTCAAAAGTTCTGAAGAATTAATAGCTGCATTGGAATTTAGAATTGTATAGAACTATGATTGTTCTGCTACTAATGGTGTTATTACCCAATATTTGCAGATACCCCACCTTTGCTATTTGAAGCATCTTCTCTGGAGAATGCATTTCAAATTGGAGGTTACCCTTGGCATTACATCATCACACCTAACAAGAAAAAACATAAAGGAGTCTTCCATATTTGTTCTCTGAAAGATAATGCTTTGGTAATATATTCAGATAGCAGCTTCTCTGAAATGAATGTGTATCACATTTGTCTTCATCTCTTCTTCTGAGTAGTGCTCGAGGTAACAATACCCTTGTTTTCCAGCATGGTGCTCTCACAGGGATGCCCCCACAGTGTTACATCTGCTCTCTAGTGGAGTCATGTGTAAAATGTTTTCTTCTGAATTAGTACTGCTTCTGATATTTCCTTCATTCCAATGTAATTATAGCACTGTCAGTGCTACATAGCACTGTATTCTAGGCTTAAAAGTTAAGGCTCAAGCGGAATCTTATTACCTGATTCCTTGCATGGTAACATCTTAATGCACTTCTGGCTAGTCAGCCTACCAAATGGCATGAACTTAAACATTTAAAGTTTTAAGAAATTGCAGAATAAGTCTCCTTAATGTTTGTAGCTTATTCCTGATTTGTACCTTCTGTCTCTCTCTCCCTAGAACGATTTTATTACTCAGTTTAATTCCTCTCTCTCCCTAGAAAGATTTTGTTACTTAGTTTAATCTAGCATTCCTAATTATTTCTGGTTTTGTACTATTCATCATATATTCTTTTGTGTGAGCTCTCCATGTCAGCTTTTATTTTGGATCTGGATTTGACCTGAAGATACTTCCATAATACAAGCAGCTTCTAGGCCTGTTAGTTAAGTGTTCTTCACTAAAAATCCTTCTTATCTGTACGTGTCCTCATCTCTCTTACTAGCCTGATCAAATCAATGATCCCCCTTCTGTGTATTATTTTCAAAACAGATCTTTTACAACCATAGCTCAAGATCAATTTTGATTCAAACGGACTTGTACAATCCTTTCTCACCTAGTTTTTTTCTGTGGGGTTCATACATTTGAAAATTTGAGTGATCAGGGTCAGCTAAATTTAACAACAAAAAGCCACTGCCAAAATCCCAAGATTTTGACCAGCTTGCAGCTGAAATCACAAGCTATCCCAGGCTTACACACACAACAGATATTTGCACAAAAGAGCCTGAGCCTGAGGTTTGAAGCTCAAGTCAAAGTTTGTGCTAATGCTTTTCTTGTGTCCTGACACATCTTGTCTTTGACACTCAAATTGCTGGAATTGTTGAAGTGTTTGCAGAGTGTAGGCTAAATCTTGATTTTGCTTAGTTTCAGGAGATGAAAGACCATGCATAGCCGTGATACAAGGTCTTTGCTTACTGCATATTTAAAAAGTTGAAACTCTTCCACAGAATATCTTGAGAACTGGAACTGAGTCTTGTTTTTATTATGATTACTATTACTGTTCCACTGCCATCCTTTCTGATCATGATTATGAGCAATACTTAAAAAACTTCAGAGGTATGTGGAGAGGAGCTCAGTATTTCCTTTTTAATTAGATCTGAGAGACTTTCAAAATACTAACATTCTAAGCTTTTCCTTCCTTCTTCAGGCAAAAAATGGCATACAGGATATGAAATGCTGTTCACTGGAACCTGATTGGATATATTTCCATCCAGATATGTCAGGTAGAATAATCCACGTGGGACCAAATTTGATAAAGTATGAGCCTTTTTTTCTCAAATCTTATTTTAATTGGAGGAACAGTTGCATAACTGCATGAATTCAGTAGTTTGACGATTTGCAGGCCAAAATACTCATCAAGCCCTAGAAACTGTAAAATTCATTAATTTGTCAGAATCAGAAGTTCTGGTAGAAACATCTGCAGATTTCTAGATGATGAATATGGGCACTGGCAGGCAACATGATGAGATTTTGATAAGAAAAATGTTCAAGGGCCACTGTGTTAAAATGTCACTGATAAACATAAATTTAAAAAAATAATTTGTTTCCATTTCAGTTATTTCTGATGTTTTAATATACCTGATTTTTTTAAATTATAAATATAGAAGTGTTGTAGTAGGTGTATTAGAATACATGACTTATTTTGTAATTTCTGTTTCTTTTGTAGAGTCTTGAAGCTTAAGGAAGTTAAAAATAATGCAGATCAAATGGAGATTGCAGAAGATTTTACAATTGTTGCCAACAGAGAAAACTGTGTGAGTTTAGTGTCCAAGATCACAGTGTATGATTTTGAGCAATACATGGAGGTTTTGTGTATGTGAGTAATCACTGTGTTTTATGGGCTTAATTCAAAGTTTATTGAAAGACATTCCATATTTTCATTGGACTTTAAGCTGTATGAAAAAAATGTTGAAAACAGTAACACTTTTAGGACAGCTTTCTGAAACCTCCAGTCTTTTCTTTAGTTTTTAACATTCATTATGGTGTGCAGTACAACCATGTGTCAGTTATATAAAGCATACCTACTGTCACAAGATGGTGACAGATCTCCTTCAAAAGAAGGTGCCACCAGATTATAATTGCGTACATCTCTGGTGCTCAGGTCAGTTGATCATACAAATGCTAAAAATGTTTCAAGTCTCTCATAAGAGGTAAATCTTCATGAGACAACAAAGACAATACGTTGCTTCCAGAAGTCCGTTTCTCTTCCTGCCCACGCACACCTGTCACTCCCTTATGACAGGTTTGGCATTCATCTAATGCTTGGTGAGCCAAATCAGTGCACTAAAATAATAACCCAGCTGAAAAGGTCAGTACTTTTCTGCTTGCTTGGTGAGCTGAACTGGAACTGGAACAGAACAGAACTGCATCATCAGTGGGTCAGAAGAGTGCAAAAAGGTAGAACCAAGTGGCGAGGGGATGATCTGAACTTCCTGGTAGAAATGAGCTGTTAAATCACCTGAGTTGTTTCATGAAGTCTTTTGTGATAGAAAATCACAAAGACAATCTAAATGTCAAAAAGGTCAAAAAGCACACTTGTGAAGAAAATCTTTTGGCAGTGCCTGGAACTCTCACTATGCTTCAGCATACAAAGTTATGTCTTACATAAAAGCAAGCTTTTATAGTTTCTGAGTACTGTCAAGTCCCTACAAATCAGTGATACTAATTTTGAAGCTTCTGCAGAAGAAAAGTTTGTGTATTAAAAATCTACAATAACTCATTAATAAAACTTTCATTTAATTCAGAAAGGATAAGCTTTGTCATCTAATGACTTGCCATACTTTTTTTTTTTTTAAGGATTTGTTTAGATAACTTCTGCTGCAGTAAGAGCAAAGAAATATGAGCCCTCATAAAGAGGAGGTAGCAGCACTAGGGCCATGCATAGCTAATGATTAAAACAAGATTCAAGAGATTAAAACAAGGTCAGAAAGCAGAAGACATGAGATAGATACATTGTCAAATAGATAGGAAGAAACTAAAATGCTCCAAAGTCTAGAGCCACTTTTTTCTTTTTCTCCACAGGTGAACAACACTGTTACTGTAACAGCTTCTGGTCGAGTGGTGAAAAAGCGTTATAACTTGCTGGATGATGACCCAGAACAAGAGGTAACTGCTGTAGTGAGGAAGAGTAAGTTCAGGGATTAAGATGGTCACCTAGCCAGAAGTCATTCTTGTTTCAGGTGCAGTGGCTGTAACCATTAGCTGTGTTAATCTTGGAGTTCTTTATTCCTCTTCTGTGGCTGCCTTTTGTCTTCTTAACTTCCAATTACTTCATTTCCCGTCTCTGTCTGTCGTCTTTTCTTCTTGGTCAGCATTTGTGCTTTGGATAGTCTCTTTCTCATAAGAACTGATCTTATGTCCCAGGATACCACCATAGCTCCATGTGACTTCGGCAGGACAGAAATAAGATATTAATGTGATGAACCATCACTCTTCTGTCTATTCAAACATCTCCTTTAAACATTTCTTATAAAGCATTTTATGAAATAAAAGAAACATATTTCTTTTTTTCTCTGCTTTGGGTTCTTCTGGTCTTTGATACAGTATCTCTAAACTAAGTTTTTCTCTCCCAATTTCTTTGATTAGATTGCAGGATAAGGTATTTAAAACTTTAAGTAACTGCTTCTTGAGAGAGAAAACACCACATGTCTTGGTGTTGAGTCTTCAATAGGTTATGAAGAGTATTCTTTAGCTCTCTGATCTAGAGCTGTAATTGACATAAGCACAACAGTTAAAATTCACCAGTTTCTGGCAGCCATTTCTGTTCCTTTTTCTGAGGAAATAAATTTTACTATGGTAAAAATACAGGACAGTCCAATATAACCCTTAAGGTCTGCAGTTTACTTCTACCTTTTTTTTTGTTGTTGGTTGTTTTTTGGGTTTTTTTTTTAACATAACAAAAATAAAACTGCAAACTATTTTTTCTGCCACTGTTAGACTTTATTTGTAATTCCAGTAGATATTTTTCCATTATGGAAGAGAAAGACTGGCTTGAATTTAAAGATTATGTTACGAGGTTCATGACAGTGCGATAGAGGCAATTAAGGCGGTTCACAATCTTCACCTTTTGATCTCAGTTCTTCACTGTCACATGCTCTGTGGAGCAAGAGCGAGCTCTGAACAGTCATGTGACTGTAACTGCTCCAATATACCCATTCTCTCAAAACCAGTAAGCTTTAAGTTATACTATCTCTAATGTCTGCTTCAAGAGAGGGCATGGGGTTTAAATATATTTCTTCTGTCACTTTCAAGGTACTTCTTTCTATTTCCTATATGATAGACATAAAACACATCTACTTGCACATTAGGATTGGTCAGAACATCAGTTTCTTCTATTTTAAGGAATTTTGCTGAAATACATTGGACAGCTTGTGTTGGGAAAGATGCCTGTTGGGTATTGGGCTGGCAAAATTTTCTTTATCAGACCAGAAGACTTAAGAATTAGAATTTTTCCAATTCTGCTTTCATCTGAAAGAAAAAGAGCTATGCAATTTAGATAGAGTGGAATGTGAATTTATGTTTGATTTATAAACTTGAGGTTTTGTTTTTCGTAAGACATTCAAAATTGTGGACTATGAAGATGAATTGGATTTGTTATCCACTGTGGCAGTTACTCAAATAGGAGCTGATGGGAAAGCACACCTTGACTTCCATTGTAATGAACATGGGATTCTACTTAAGAGTATTCCATTACTGGAGTCCTGGGATGTGGTGAGGAGAATTCCTGTCTTTGGTTTACACTACCAATTCCCCATACCCATTTTCCTAACATTTTTGTTCAGATTGGAAGCAGTGTTGCCAAGTGCTGTGGATGAGATTTGTACAAAATAATAATCATACCTCAAAAATTGTAAGTATTCCATTAGATAGTGGAATTTATCTGAAAATTTCCAAAGATGAACAATACTGTTGCTGCAACAGCTTCATTTATCTGAAAATTTCCATTATTTGAAATTAAGATTTTTTTTTTTTTTTTAGTTCATTGATTTGTTTGTTTTTTTGGCTGGGCGAGGGGTTGTCCTTTGGTATTTCTGAAGTATTTACCAACTTGGATACTCACCCTCTGGCTAGTTACATCAGCTTAACTTTACAACTTGTAAATAGTCTCACTAGCTTAACTTGAACTACTTGTGCATAGAGTTAAGCATAGACCTCTCCATCTGTGTATTTGGAGAGATGGAATGGGCTGTTCATATAGTCCAAGTTTAGGTGGACATCCAACTTCAGTGATCTGGCACCTTTGGCACCTCTTTTATCACTGACTGCATAAGCAATTTAGGATTCTAACTCAGATGCTCTGAATTGCCCTTAGACTCCTAAAATAGGCATGTGGGAAACCTCTCAAAGTTTTAAAATTCTGTCTTTTATCTGGAAGAGTAGTCTGTGTGTATCCACACAAAATTCCCATGTGATCATGGAGGTCACCTATGTTAAATATTTTTTGTTCCCCAAGGGAAATGTTATGGATGTTAGCAAGTTATGAAAATGGAGATTGCAATCAGAATTTGTTTTTCTCATTTCAGACTTTCAGTCATGAAGTTTACTTTGACAGAGACCTTGTATTACATGTAGAACAGAAGCCTAACAGGAGGTTCAGTTGTTACGTTTACCAAATGGTCTGTGACACTGCAGAAGATGAATGTTCAAGCCATGAAAAAACAGAAAGAGCGTTTTGTAAAAAAGGAGGGAGAATTTTTGAATATATTTAAGACATAAACGACAACTTGGATGTAATTTAAGGACTTCATACCTATGGATTAGTCAACTACTGTTTTTCAGGCAGGATTTAATCTTAACATTTTGTACTACTACATGAGGTTTTATTTCTTTTTTTCCTCTGTAACATTGTACAGTTGTCAGTAGTCCATAATGGCTTTTCATGTATTCAACAGTTCATTAACAGTAGATGCAGTATTTATTGCTTCTCTTCAGCACTTGGATTGAAATACTGGACATCAAGGAGAAAGATGTGGACTTACTGATCATCTACCATCTGCTGCAGTCTGTCTTACGTGGTTTTACCTATGCAACTTCAATACAGGCTTTTAATTAAACAAAGCATGTAAAACTGTATAGGATAAATTTTATATGTAGCATGAAAATGGCAGAGTTACCATTAAGCCACTTAGCAAACATCCTTGTGTTGTTTTTGTGTGAGAAGTAAAATAACTTGGGTTTTCTGGTTGGGTTTGTTTTGGTTTAAAGAGAAGTAGTAATAAATTATCTATTTTTGCTGCCTTTTATATCTGTATTTATTTATATATTTTTAATACATTATATATAAAACCAAGCAAACCTCTGGTTCGCCCTGTGCCAGGGGTCAGGAGTTGGTCAGTCTGAGCCAAAGCTACCAGATGCTCAGCTGGATCACTGTGTGCAGCCTGTCTGATGCATGGGAGTTCCATGTGGTATATTCAGATTCTGTGAAATGCAAGCTTTCATTGTAAATTAAAAAACCCATACAGTAAAACACAGGCTCTAGGCTTCACGGTGGTACAGTGTTTCCAAATGCAAACCAAAGATGGGCTCGGGAGAGTACCTCTTGGAGCGATGACTAATGTCCAATTTCTCACTACCATTATCATGAGTGTGGTAATTCTAAACCCAAATATTTCTTTTCACTGTGAATTTTACTAATGAAGTGTGGATCATTCTAGCTGATGCAACAGTGAAGAGCTCTAGAAGAATTATAACAAGTACCTATTGTGAGTTTTTATAAAAAGTGTAATAAAAAAGCAAAATACATTTGTGGAAACAACATAAAAAGGAGATCTAAGAAGGTAATGAAGTAACAGTAGAAATAAAAAGTGGCAGCAATACTCTACTTCCAGCCTAGCTTCAGTAAGTTTTCACTTGGTGTCCAGGAAAGAGCACCTGTCCATTATCTGCAACTATATAAGTAAGATATGAGGCTAAAAACTGATCTGAATCTCTACTTTTAAGCAGAAGATACAACTCAAGCACATATTGATATTTTATGCTCATTTCTGTTTGAATTATTAAAGCAGTTCCTCCCAGAGCAAGACATAAACTTCATTGTTTATTATATAGTGCAAGTAGAATCATAGAATGTATTGGGTTGGAAGGGACCTTCAAACGTCATCTAGTCCAACCTCCCCTCCAGTGAGCAGGGACATCTTTACTAGAGCAGGTTGCTCAGAGCCCCATCAAGCCTGACCTTCAATATCTCCAGGGATGGGGCCTCCACTACCTCTCTGGGCAACCTGTTCCAATGATCAACAACCCTTATATTGAAGAACTTTTTCCTAATATCCAACCTCAATCTATCCTTTTCTAGTTTAAAACCACTACCCCTCATCCTATTGCTACATGCCCTTGTGAACAGTTCTTCCCTAGCTTTCTTATAGGCACCTTTCAGGTACTGGAAGGCTGCTATAAGGTCCCCCTGGAGCCTTCTCTTCTCCAGGCTGAACAACCCCAACTCTCTCAGCCTGTCCCCATAGGAAAGGTGCTCCAGCCCTCGGATCATTTTTGTGGCCTCCTCTGGACACGCTCCAACAGGTACACGTCCTTCTTGTGTTGAGGGCTCCAAAACTGGACACAGTATTCTGGGTGACGTCCCACCATAGCAGAGTAGAGGGGCAGAACCTCATGAAGATCAGCTGTAGCTTTGAAGAGTTCGCTATACTTCCCAGTGGCTTTTATTTTTAAGTTATTGCAGACTTGTGATATTCTGCTAAATCAACAATTGCACATCAGTATCCATCTGTTGAAAAATGCAGCAATTTGTCATGACCAAAAGGCAGCCCAGACTTTGATAAGGAAGATTATGGGCTTGTAGAAATTCTGTGTAAGAAACTCTTATCACTCTAAATACACAGTGTGTTGGTGCATACAGATAATGGCAGATGTTCCATCCTGTAGGATCACACATAGACATTTTCATTCAGAAACCAGAGAGATGTTTCTGTTTAATTTAAAACACCTTGAAAGCTATTTAAGAATGGAGAATCCAGAATCCTGAGCACCTCTATGAGTATATTCACAACCCTATTTATGATTGGGCTGGGACACACCAGAGAAGCAGAATCACAAAATGCTTATGGGTTGTGCTTCTCCAGCTGTGAACGGCAGTGTTGCCTTCTGTACCCATGCAGAGCCTCAGAAAATTCTAAAAATAAACTTCTGTTTAAATGGGAGGAAAATTCTGACCACAAACCAGTATTTTTTTACATTGTTAAAAATAACCCTGTGTCTGAACCAAACACAAATAGCCACATGCTTGGTGGCAGCCCACCTGAATCAACAGCTTTTATTTCAAGTTAAATTTTGAAAAAAAACCCATCCACCAGAAAAAAGTACTGCTTTACTTTGCCAAAAAAAATTTATATGTAAGCACTTCTTGGTCACTGTTGCTGGCAGGGCTGTACTATTGTGCAGTATCAAATCAATATGAAATTTGAATAAATTCATTGGATCTGATCTGTAGATCTACAGTTTGATGTCCATTTATGATTATTTTAGAGCACTTATCTTTCTCTTTTTCAGAATGTAAATTAGGTACTTGGAAATCTCTTACACAATCTGAATAATTCAGTATGCTCAAGAATAACAGTATTTGTAGAGAAATTCTGAGGATACTTATGTGGTTTCCATTAAAGAGGAAAAAATACTCGTGCACATGCCCAGTATAATTATCTCTGCAAGCACCAATGTCTGACATTAGTACAAGAAAAGAGAAACAAAATTGCTTTGAAAAAAACAGAAGTAACTTCTTCAAATGTAGTTAATTTCCCATTTTTAAATTCAGAAACTAAGATTAATAAAATATAGAAGACAAAAATATTTTTCACTTTTCATAGGCAGTAGCTATGGAATCATAGTAGATCAAGAAACCCATTTACTGCTAGCTTTCTGTTTTACAAAAATTGGACTAAGAAATTGTTAGTGTGAAATTCTCAGTTGCCTTACTTCCTCCATATTCCAGAGGGTGCTTACCACTCACGGCATGGCTTACAGAGTCTGCAGGTAAAGCCTCAAGTAATTAGATCAGTGTCAAGTAACTGGACTAAGTGCAGACTTTAAAAGAAGAAAAAAGAATATATGTATATACATATATACAGATATATAAAAATATGTAAATATATCTATGTACTGTTAACATGAGTAAAGATTCTCAAATGTGTGTTTCAAACACAAAATTTAAGGGATCTTAGCTACTTTTGCCAACATTCCCAATTAAGTAACTTCACCCAAACTCTGCATTTTCAGCATGGAGAAATGTTTCTTTATTCTTTTTCTCTGGATATGTCCCATTACTTTAACAGCACTGTTTCTTGCTCATTTATTCTCATTTTGCCTTTTATTTTCCTTTTGTTATTTAGTAAAATACCATTTATATTACTTAACAGTAACTGAAGACTGCCAAAAACTCACCAGCAAGAAACTTTTTTTTCCTTATGGAACTGTGACAGATATCCCACATGATGGAACAGCTAATGAACAAATTAATTTGCTTCCCAGTTACAAAGATTGCTATTAGGAATACCTGCTAGAAAGGACACCCATATAGGGTGGTGTGTAGACTGGGTGTTTTCTTAAAGAACAGTTGTGATGAACTGCTGTGAGCTGCTTAAAGAGAAGTCTCTGGGCATACTGCCTGCAAGAGGGATAATGCTGCTCAGTTAAGTACAAAGGTCATGGACTAGTGAATTCACGTTGGGTTTCACTTTAGGTTGTTTGATACAAGGTTTCTGCTGTTGCCAGAATGTACAAAACCTAAATGAGATAAGTGACAAAGGGGAAGAAGTAGTCAAAATGTGGTTTTCTAAGGCTGAACCACAAAAGAATTTATAGAACAGCAACTGAGTTCTTTCACAACTGCCAAGTATTGCTACAGTCACCAGTAAAAAAACCTTTAAAGAACTTTTTTTTCTGAAAGATATGTGAATTGATCTGATATAGATGTAGCAATGCCTCACTAATAATAATTGCATAGCATTTCCAAACCTTTTCTGAACCTTTTCTTTACCTCCATGAACTGGAGAAATTTAATTAGTCTCTGCTAAAACAAAGAATTCAGACAATTCCTGCAAAAATTTTACTTTTGAAGGATGGATGAATAATATAGTAATTGTCAACTAGCCCTATTCATACTTGAAGAAAGTTTCTGTGCATCAACATGAATTCCAGGTGTCTCTCCTGATACACAGATTGGATAGCTTATGAGTACTAAAAGAAGGAAACAAATATTCCAGTATTTAAAATTAATGTTAGAAATATTTAAGGGAACATCTTTGTTGTGCAGCTATTTCACAGTTTTAGATTTTTAAAGAGGACCACTTAAAGATTTCTGGTTACTAGATTTGGCATTTATGCAAATACAACTTTAGTATTTATTTCTGCTTTACTGAAATTACAAGATGATGACCAAAACAACCTTCAGGAGCTCCAAAAGAATTTTCTGTCAACAGATTCTAATGTTTATAGATTAAATAAATTTAAAATAGTCAAACTGCTTGATTTGGATAATAAGAGATTAAAACAAACTGCAAAAGCAGGGGGTTTTAAAAAATAAAAGGAACTAGTAATCCTAGCAGAGTGAAGCGTTACAATGACACAGTTGTTAAGATCTGCTTTGGTTTGTATAACTTAACAACTCATTTAGTAAACTGGGAGTACAAATGCCTTATTCCTGCCTGAGTGGGAAGGGAATATCGTGTTCTTAGAAATATTGTATTTTTAGGGAAGAGTAAGTTCACATTCTTCTCAGGAAGAGATAAAGGAAGTATGGAAGGGGAAGCTAAAATTCACTGGAATTACTCTGCAGAATGGCTTAAGAGGTTTGGCTTACTTGGATGATGCAGGAGAAGCAATGCACTCCATGTGATCCATAGG